GCGATGCACTTGTTCCTAGTAGCTTCTTGTTACTACTAGTAAGGCACCTGTTACTACTAGCGTGGCACTTGTTACTAAAACCAGGCAAGGCCAAACGCATGCGTCCTTGTCCGGGTCCGAACCGTTGACCAAGGTGTCCATGGGCGTCCAAGGTGCACAGGAGAAGGAGACCAAGCAAGAGGCAAAGGCCATCAAGCCCAGAATGAAATTCACATTGCAGCCTAGACAAACAATCGATAAGAGAGGATCACATCAGTTGCCATCGCTCAATTATTGCGCAGCAAGGCATTGTTGCGGTGCTTGGTGAGTAGTTCGGAACATCAAACGTCAATGTTCGTCAATGCTTCAATCAGGTTTGCCTTACCAATAAATAAATCGTTCGGTTCGTCCATGGTGTGCCGCCGTAGGCGGTTCTGTGGAGGGGGTGTACCACACTGAGGACTGGGACTTACAGGATCCTATTGGAGGCCATCACTACGGTGGAGGCCATCGCTAGTAGGTTGCCTGGTCTCTTTGTACTTTCAAATGTCTTCTTAGTATCTCAACGTAGTTCAGCTTCGCTGATAATTCTCAGCGCCCCAGCACATCTGTTCATGGTTTAGAGGGATTTGTTGCATCTCCCGATAGATGGCTGGGTGGTTTTCACCGTACCCACTGGCTTTGCATACTCCATGTACATCTCCACTCCTTTTCATCAAAATACCTCCAAGATACTCAGAACAGCGACTTTTTTTCCAAGGAGGGCTTAGAACTTTAGAACTCGTTGAGTGTCCTGTTTGCGAACAGTAGGGAACAGTGAGTATTCATTGTTGGTGCTCATCTGGATGACGGGGACAAATCCCGATCCCTCCCAGCCTATCCAGGCCAGCTCATAGTCACGTTGAAGCAGCTCCATCAGACTTGAGGAATGAGCTGAGGTCGTTTCCTCAAAGGAGAGGCCACAGCTGTAGAGCGGCACATTCACAACTTCAGGAGTCAAAAGAACAACTTGTGAACTTGAGAGGGAGAAGGTACCTCCTGCAACTCGGTGGTCTTTTCCGACCACCGGTATTACCTGCTGCTCGGCGTGAGATGGTATTGAGGGGAAGAACTCACTGAAAGTAGCTGTTGAAGCTAGTCACACGATGAAATGAGTTGCCTCCCACTTTCTGCTAAGAAGTGCCTAGCTTGGGTCATCTTGGGTCCTAGCAGAAGGTATCAAAACAGGTCTATCGTCATCTGACTACATCTAGTTTTCTATCGAACCTCCTGTCAGCCCTACCTACTCCAGCGCAGAGCTCTTTTCCTCTCCACGATCAGGTCTGTGGAGAGATCCCTCACGCGGAGGGCCCAGTGGCGCAAGCGCTCTTGACAGATCCGGTGGTAGGGGATGTCTGGACTGGCCAAGCTCTCGAGGACGTACAGGAGCCTAGGAGCTAGGAGCGGGTCCAAATCAGCCGCAAGACGTAGCCACCATCTGGATCCAGAAAAACACCACTCAAAACAATGATGGTGCCAAACGATGATGCCAAGAGCCTCTATACTCAAAAGAATTCACATGGTGGGTGTCCTGCCCCCACACTCCCCACAAAATCAGGTCCAATTAGCCTGGGCAAAGTGTTCCCCATGTTCCCCTTTGGTGCTTCTGAACGTTCTCGTTTTGTCGTTCGGCACTGAATTAAGAACATTCTGTTTCCCTTCCTTTCCTTCTTCCTTTCCTTCCTTAAGCCCAGCTTAGAGTAGTTAAGAAAGCCTCTTGCAGAGAATCTTTCACAAATTTCACAGAGGACTTGTGTGTTTTCCTCTTCAAATTCTGAACATTTTAGACAAACGTCCAAGTCAGTGATCCAAGTCCAAGTCACAAGTTCTCGGGATGTTCCAGTGCCAACCCCGACTTCGCCGCATTCGACCGCCGCTTGGGCAGCTTTCCGGACTGTGCGGCTGCGGCGGCACGCTGGAGCTCGTGGAGCGAGCGTTCCTCGGGGCCAGCGCGAAGCGGGCGAAGCCGGACTAGGGATAGACTTTAAGGAACTAGCGTTGGCCTCCAACCTAAGAGCAAGGACGCTACTAGGGGCTCCTTGGCCGCACTACTAGGAACAAGGACGCTACTAGACCTAATAGCGATGGCCTCCAACCGGACATTTTGGACCAAAAGAGTTGCACGTTGGCAAGCCGTATGATCTCCTTTGTTCAGTGCGCATGACAAGAATCCGCAGCTGTGCTCAATTTTTGTTGGCTCAATTGACCCTCCAGTCGCAAAAGAAAGCAAAGACAGTTCTAAGACTCCTGACATCATGTGCCATCATGACACGATCCTTGAGCATCCCCCTAGTTTGATATAAAGAGAAGCTGGGCTAAAGGTTGGAGAATCTGGGGCATGCCGAGTATGCCAAGCATGGCACACGTAGGCTTAAAATATGTACCTGAGTTGGTTCCACTATGAGCCAGGCATCCATGAAGTCCTGTGCAGCAGAGACCTTCGTCACGCACACTTGCACTCGAGGGCTTTCCTGAAAGCCGGCGAGCGATGGAGTTTGGGGGTGACAAACATGGGATTCTGAGTGAATGACTCAGACTCTGCAGATTTTGTGAGTGAACATTTGTAGCCCATTTGGAAACCCACTTGTACACTCTTCAGCCGCTAGACTTTGCCTCACAGGTTCCCTCGCATGTGACTGGCATCAAGGCCACCACCACAACTCCAACCACTCCAACCGCTCTCACCCCTGCACCTTCCGACATCACCATTTTCTGCCCACCCGAGGCTCTCTGCCCATGATGCAGTAGACCACCTTCCGCGCCAGCAGCGCTTGGCGCTCTGCGGCCACTGGTGCCTGGTCCACCACGCGCTGCCGCTGCTGGCGCTCCAAGACCGCCATGCGGTGCAGCTCTTGCACGTGCGGCGGGAAACGCCACGGCCTCGACGCGTCGGCGACGGCGTCGGCGTCGGCGACTCGCCGAGGTTGAGGAGGGGAGGAAGGGGCGACTGGCGACTGGCTGTGGCGCCGTTTCGTTGGGATTCAGTAGCGTTGAACTTTTAAAACCTCCAAGATTGCACACGCAAAGTGCAGCACGCAGTGAATTCCAGGTCTTCAAATCATGTGATCTTCAACGTCAATCTTCAAGAAAGCCGGTCTTTTGAAGATTCAAAGACAAAGAAAGTAACAAGAAGCTACTAGGGGCTCCTGGCATCGCTACTAGGAGCATTCTTGCTTCTAGTAACAAAGAAGCTACTAGGAACAAGTGCATCGCTTCTAGTAACAAGTGCCACGCTACTAGTAACAAGTGCCTTACTAATAGTAACAAAGAAGCTCAAGAAAGCCCAAGCACTGGCGATCGGAGACCCCACCCCCTGCGCCTCAGTAGGACCTCATCGAAGGTCGCTTGGAGCTGTTCCATGGGAGCCCAGGTGGGCCCCAAGTCGCCTGAGGACCAAAAGGAAAGCCCGTTCGCCAATAACTGAATGAAAAAGCTCCGTTCGTAGCGTAGCGATGCCCTTTGCTCCTAGTAGCTTCTTGCTACTAAATGATTCAAATTTTCATACTTTTACTTTAAGAACGAAGACTTGTCAAGTCTTCCCCGAAAAAAGACTGGGAACCAAATGCATAGCGTGAGCTATCCTGTGTCCAGTTGGCAAACAAGCGGCCTACTTAGCAAACAAGTGGCTTTAACCGTCAAACGGTCTCACCTGGGCGGTTGTGATGCTGTCGCGAAAGTATCTCAGGTACTTTCAGGTACTTTTTTATCTCCTACCCTAGTCATTCACTGTTTTACAAGATTATGTCGAGCTTCGTAGCTTCAAACCGGAGAGAGGGCTCCAGTCTTCTGACACAGTAATTATATATATAAATACTTTTACTTCTACTTGACATCCAAATCAGGAACATAACTTGTGAACATGGTTGAACTATGTTGCAAGTCAGGGATGGAGGGTAAATCCCTCCAAGAACAGAACGTGGCTGGACCAGTTCACCTTCTACTCACTTTCTCCGGATGATGTCTATAGAGTCTATTGGGTATTGCTATGGGGGACGGAAACTCGCCGTCTAGTGCTTCGAACTCGGTAGTGGCGAGTTGCCGGGTGAGGGAACCGGCATGAACAGCCCAAGTTGCAAGCAAGTGGAAGCAACTTGTTGAGTGACATTTGTGGATATTTGTGGTTGATACGAAGTGTTCTCTGCGCCACAGGCAGCAAAACTCTCTGATCCACCTACTTCAAGGGAGCCGACAACCCGGCTAGGCTGTACTGAAGACAGTGAGAAGGCTTAGTTGACCAAAACAGCAGGAATCTCAGCATCCATTAATAAGGCGGCTAAGTTGCTAAACGCGCTCTGGCTTGCGAATGCCCGGCCGCGAACCAGCGTGCGGAACGCGCTGCGCTCCACAAGGAACATGGTCCAGGGCAGGTGTTCGCTCTACTCATGTGAGTGCAACTACTGACTGGTCTACTCAGGGTGGAGTGCAGGAGCCTCTGTGGCAGCATGTTCGATCAACAACTGTTTCGAGCGGTTACAGCACCCAACGCAGTGTGTCACGTGCCATGTGAAACATGTTAAATGTTATTGGCACATATTGGCACTGGTTGTTTCCTTCCAGCGTGTTCTCCTCAAAGCCTGCGCTATATAACGTGCTCAATCCAAACGTAGGGCCTGATGGCTGCGGTACGAGGTTCGGTTAGAGGATGTTATAGACCAATTCATATGGATGGGCAAACAATTCCACCAACCAACCAGCAGGGGACACCCAAAAAGAACTCAAACAGTTCTTCTTCACAGATCCAACAGAAAGAAACAACGTTCCTTTCAACTCGAACACAGTTCTCGGACTTCCTTCCCGCTTGTGTATGGCCTCAGCTGAGTTTGTTGTCCACTCCGTAACTTCCTTTTGAACTCCACTTTTGAGCCTGTGGGTTCATGTCCGCTTCAATTTGGGACAAGTCTGGCGAAAGCCAAATTGAACAACGGCGGGTGGATTTGGTCGTTTGGCCACTTCTTTCTGCACCACCCGCTTACGCCATGGCCCGACTTTCTGCCAAGGCTCGTTCAGCTTGTTGACCGCCACGGTGGACCAAACAACCGCAGTGAGCTCGCCTCGGTGAAACCGGGCGTGTTGTTCCCCTCGTTGGTGTGGATGGAGGCCCTCTGGAGCAGCTGTACGCCAGAAGAGCACAAGGCATAACACGACTCACAAAACAAACAACAGAACAAGTGCGGTTAGATGCGCATGCGCAGTTGTCTGGTCTTTGTGGAAAACTCAGCACAGCCCGACATAAAGGGCATTGTCTTAGGGTATTGAACCCAAGGTTTCAAGCTCAAATGCAAGGAGACAAACATGCTGGTTTTTACTGGTCATTTTCAGGGTTCACCCGTCACCTGTGATACAGGGAATCGACCACCATAAGAGAGACCGTGTTCAATCCTGATATCAAAACTAAATGTATTCAATTCTCGAGGATGGCCAGCAAAGATGTCCCCGGTTCACTTCTCACTTATCCAGCACGTGCGATTATGCTGACAGCGCAGGTGGCAAAATGCTCTTCTTTCTGCAGCAGGAGCGTCTGCCCAACGACCACAGGGCGGTCCCAAACCAAGGACGGAAGTTGGCACATGGAGCCGTGAGCAACAACTCGCCCCCATGGACCGGATGTGCCTTTGTTCGTACGGACCACTCTACGATCTAGGAGTTCCTTTCGGCAAGTTTCTGCTGTAGGAAGGCCAGTGATTCCTGGGCTTGAAGCGCTGCAGCCATTTGAAGTGACTCTTCACTGGCGACGTCTACACCTCGTTCTGCGAGCAACTGCAGCATTTCTGGCCGATTGCTGCCTATAGCTTGAGTCAGGGGACCATGGAGTCCCGTTGGCCCGAACTCTTGATGAGGGTCTGCACCCTTTTCGATCAGGAGCTCTGCTGCCTTGGCCTCCCCATAGAAGAGTGCAAAGGAAAGAGCGTCACACCCAACTGAGGCATTGGCATCCGCCAATGCACTGATGATCTCTAGCTGACCTGTTAAAGCCGCTCTTTCAACCATGGACCTCCCTGTCAGCTCGGATATGTGGTTCAGTGGCACGTGAGCTTCGATGACCAAGCGGACAAAATCCACATGCCCTAGGGCTGCTGCGTCTCCCCCCAATTCTGCCAAGGCCTTCCTGTTGTTGCCATCAAGGACTTGGCCAATCTCTTCATTCGTTCTCCAAATGGTGTATGCCATTTCCAGTTGCCGAAACTGACAGGCTGTCATGAGAAGATTGGCCAGCTCTTGTGGATCTCGGTGCTGAAGCATGTGGGCAGCACGAAATTGACCGATGTCGCCACGTGCGACCAGCCTGTGGAGTTCCTCGATCTCATCATGCCCTACAAGAGGCAGATCAGAGCTTTGCATTTGTGATGATACAGGAAATCCTTTTTCTGCTCCATGATCTTTCACCATCTGTGCCATATCCACGCAGCCACTCAAAATTGCCCGATCAGCCAATCCGCAGTTGATGGCAGTCTGCTTGTCGAACAAGGGGTGTAGCCAACCCACTGCTTGCCAGGAGTAAGGCATTGTTTTGATAGCGGCGCGCATCGCCAGCGTGTCTCCCGAATGCACTATCCCATGAAGGTGAGATATTGCTGATGAGTATGACTTCTGGGCAAGGAGAGCTACATTTCCCGCTAGCTGCCTCATCTCTTCCACAGTTGAATGAAAAACGGCTCCCCAAATGGCTTGAAGAGAATTCTGCAATCCAGGCACTTTCCAGTTCTTTTGCAGCTTCATCATCTGCTCCAGCAATAGTGAACTCGCATCTGCATGCTCCATCATAACTGCATGGTACAACGGTGGGTTGCCCTCGCAGTCCATGGCAGCCACATCCGCGAAAGCTGTCAAAAGGAGTTCGATCATCCTTCGGGAACCGTGCCGGGCAGCATAGTGCAAGGGAGTGAAGCCATGACAGTCCCTTGCTCCAACTAAATGCTTGGTATCAATGTCCGTGGACAGGAGGATGCGAACCATGTTCTCGTCATTCATCATTGTAGCTTCCAAGAGCTTCCGGGTACCAAGGCGTTCCTTCTCATAGACGTCGTGCTGCACATCTTGCTTCACTTCCACGGCTTTCTTAAAGTTCACCTCAGCACCAACTGCAACACGGCTTTGCGTGGAGCTCCGCTCTATAGTATACTACAGTAGACACAGTACCACGTAGGAGTACATCAAATTCCCACAATATAGTCTGACAGGGTTATCTCAAAGACCCTCGAGGGCAAAATGGGTTTTTCTAGCTCGTCTGCCCACCTGCAACTCACAAATAAAGTCGTTGATCTTTAGCAAGAAGAGCCAGTCTCGGTACTTGGAAGGTCCCACAGGCCGTTGGTATCGGTCGGAGAAACGGGTAAAGTGTGCCTTGAAATCACGCAGCTCATCTGCAGAACTCACCAAGACTTCGAGCAAGTCGTAGGCCACTCCAATGGTCTGGTCGCTAATGTGTTCACAGGTAATCACTAAGGTTCCACGTACCACATCCTCGAACGAGCTCTGCTTCTACAGAAACTTAAAGATCTTAAAGTCCAGAATGAAGACATGGCTGAAGAACATGATACAGTTCTGGTACGTCCATCTATCAGAACATTATAGGTCTGGCCAACTGTTTTGACGGACATCTACATATCTCCGACAGCAGTTGGAACTTCAAAATTGGAGTTGAACACAATCCGGCTTTGTGGGAAGTACACAATTGCACATATGTTGCAAGTTGCAAATGACAACTCTTTTTTGGCAATTGGAACCCACTGGCTCCTTCAATTGTCGGCAATCTCCGTGGTATTCAGTGTTCACTTTGCTTGCAGCAGATGCCACAGATTTGATGGCCGCTGAGCAAAACTCAACACCGTATCCTGGAGTTTGTGAGACATGTTGGTGCAGCTTGTGTTTCAGCTTGGTGCACAGCTCATCAAAGCTCTTTTTGAATCCAGTGGCGAGCTTCAGCATATTCTGCAACCGCGCAGGCATCAATTTCGGGATGTCTTTGCCACATCTATATACAAATGACATTACCAACTGAACTTTCGACGGGGTCGCTAATCAGTTCTAGTTTAGGATGTCGTATGCTTCAGTTCACATACTCCTAGTCCCTTGAGGTTCCTAGCCATTGTTTGAACCATGAACGCACAATAAAGTAGTAACAAGAAGCTACTAGGAGCAAAGGGCATAGCTACTAGGAGCAAGGACGCTACTAGGGGCTCCTGGCATCGCTACTAGGAGCAAGAGGAACTCCCAGTCGGGCTTTTAGACGCATCTCACCTCGATTCCCATGCCCTGGAAGATGGCTGGCTGCGCCGCCGCCGCTTCGCCCGCACGCAGCATCTCAGAGACGCGCTGCCCAACCCTGAGAGAAGCCTGCTGGTAGTCTTTGATACGCTTGGGTCCACCAAGGAGGTCGATCAAAGGTACATCTTCCTGCTCTCTTTCTGTCAGGCACCGCATCCGGTGGTTAAACCGAAATGGGTTCACCTCATTTCACCTGGTTCGCATTCAGATATTCGGCGCTTATGGACTCCTTTCTGGGGGAGCTTCATTCTCCGGTGGCTTAGACATGAAGACTTAGGAAGCCAGCTCTTTTTTGGTAGCCGTTCTACATCAAGCTGGAGTGTTGGTTGGTACTCCTTCACCACCTACACCGATGCGGCTCAGTGTTGGCCTTGCTTCAGCCAGGCATCCGGCTCTGGTTGCTCTGGCTGCTCGACCATGATCTCAGAGCACTTCAGGACTTCTAGGCGCCTTGCGGCTAACTCCAGCTCTTCCTTCGGCACACCCTGTGCCTGTGCTTTGGGGAGCAACCGAAGGATGGCATCTTCGTCGTTCTCTTCCTTGGTTTCTGCAGATCCAGCCTCTACCAGCTTGTATTTTAGTTGCATTTGTGTGATAGATGCCATCGCGGCGCGGCTGGCTCTGGGAAAGTCACTTGGAAGTAAAGAGACCCATAACATCCTTCATTGTAATCAGAGTCCTAGAAAGACTGGATCCCAGGATCCCAATCACGACTGTTCCTTTCTAAGGCAACAGGATTGTCGGACTTCAGTCTCTCAGGTTCAACACGAAGGCAGCGTAATTTCCGAAATTGAACTAGCTGCCTCGCGCAAAAACCAATGGAATTTGCTCCAAGTGCACTGAAATGGCAGCCCCCTTGAACAAAAATCCACCAGCCCCCGAGATGGAATTGAAACGCCCGAGGTTCAACTGCTTCTGCCAATGCAAGCTTCAAGTTCTTCATGTCCTGTTGTGCTTGGGCAGTCTTCCGAGCTTTTCTCTTCACGTCCACATTGGCAGGCCGCACAAAGAGCCCATGCGCCTCCTGCGAACAGTCTTTCTACAAATGCAAACATATACAGTGACAGTGGCATCTAGACTCTTTAAAGGTTGATGGAGTCATATGGCATTTCGTTTCAATCTTGAAGCTTGCCATTTGTGACCCCTAACTTTCAATCGTCACTATCCAGGACTTTGAGAAAACATGATCTCCTCCAGGCCTGAAAAGGATCACCTTAAAACATGGCCGAAGAAAGGAATTCATCTTGAAGATCAAGGGTCTTCAAAGACCGCCCGCCTCACAGGTGAAGTAGCGTTGATCCTTCACTGAGCCATCATTTTTGCCACGTGGCTCCTCCAGCTCCACCCCGACCCAGTCGCCCTCCGCGAACTTGGTCGTGCCCAAAAAGCGGATCCACCCGCTCACCTGCTTCTTCTCCACCCGCACCTGCAGGAGAAAAATAACAGGTATCCAAGAAGGACAAAGCTGTGGATGGCTGTACTTTTGAAAGGATGAATGCTCACTCTCGCAAAGAATAGCAAAGGCCCCCAAACTGGAAGGCAACTTTCCAAATGCAGTGCCAAACCTTTGTGGTCTTGAAGTTTCATGCGAGTCTCTTGGGGCGTAAGTTTTATGTTCCTTGAGCTTGCTTGGGTGCACTTATTGGAATCATAATTGTTTGGTTTGTGGGTGGTGCTGCTTTTCTTCCAAGCATTGAACTGCTCCACTTTGTCAGTTTTTCAATATGTTGAAATGTTGTTCAAGATGTGTGATGTGCATCTTGCAAATAGGCGTTCTGTTGACGGCTGTTCATACTCTCTTTGGGTCTGAAGCGACGCCATTGTGCCATTCCAACACGGTTTGGCATCGCTGAAGGTGAACACATTCAACCCGTTTTTCCAGGGGGCCAAGGATGTTTTACGGTTGCGTGTTTGAGCTCCTTGGCTGGATCGTGTCTCGGTTCCAGCCTGAATGCTCATTCCAAGGGAAAGATCACTGATTGCCGGCATTGCTCAGTTTGCGTGGCGATCTGCTTGGCAGACGGAAAAACGCTTGAGCTTCAGTGGTCTCAAAGCCAACGTGAGTGAATGAAAGTCCGAGAAGAAGCGAAGGGACTCAAAACAAGTCCTCTTTGTATTTGAAATGTCCCCTTACAAAGAGGACTGAGTATGACATGACCTGAAATAGTTGCCCAATGCAGGCGGGTCCTTGGCTTGGTCTGATGACATCCGGAAACAATTGGTGGCTCAGTGACATACTGTGCGGCTTGTGACCAAGCGCGATGTTTTCTTGGTAATGTGTAAACATTCATGAATTCTGAATATGCGACACAATCTATGTCAATCGAAGCCACTAGTGGCTACATCCAACATCCCCTTTCAGCCACCTTCCACCAGCCCTCTATCAAACCCTCCAACAAGGTAGGCAAGCTGCAACAAACCCCCACAGCTGCCAGTAGATAGTGAAGCCGCTTGGCGCGCTTCTGGCCGGCTTCGCGGATCCGGATCTTCGGTGACAAGACGGGGGAGGGAAGGGAATTAGGCAAATTGAGTCGAGTTTCAAGTGATTCCTGTAGAGACTGGAATGCCAAGGTTGAACCAAAAGAGACCGGAACATGCAAATGAACAAACCAACAACATGCATCATTTGATGTGTAAGAACGGGTGATTCATGTTGATTCCCACATTTTGCGTGTGGAGCATGGATGGTGCTGGAGAGCCTCGGAAGGGACGAGACTCATCTTTCGGAATAGACCCATGGGTTTCTCTATTGGTGACTTGGGAGATCTCCAGAATTTCAGAGCGTTTCTGAGCACAGTAGCGACAGGTGAAGGCACACTGCGGATGGCTCGGCCCCAAATCTGAATGTAGGATATGTAGGACAGGAAGGAGTGGATAGAACCTTCCTTTGCATCGGATCAATCGACGATGTCGTCTAGTTCAGGTCTCAAACACCAACCAAGCTAAAACTCGGCCGTTCCTATGCTTCAAACACCTATGCCCCGGACTTTTAAAATTGCTCTGAACATTTTCTTGAACTGAGCCCAGGTAGTTCGGGGATCCAAATTCAGCATGCCCAAACTAATGCAATGCTCTTATCGGAATAAGAACCCTTGTGAAGGCCATATAGTATTGTGGGCAGCCCCAATTAAAAGGTCGACATGTCCTGGCGAAGAGGTTGATGTTTTCCACAGGATGGCACGGATGGAAAACCACCTCGCAAAGCTCTATCAGGACGCACGCCGCGCAGCTGGAACGGTGGCCGCGCCAGCCAGGCGACGTCGTTCTTCTGGATCCTTGGTGCACGATGTCCGACATCGCTGGATCAGCCGGGGTGGCCCTTTGGACGCAAGGAACCTTTTCAGGACCTCATTTCAATGAGTCTCTACTAGCCGAGCCGAGGCAAATCTCAAGCGGCTCTTTTTTGCTTGACTTATCCAATCTCCACACACTCTTCGATGCCATTGGATCTTCGTGTAGAGGGTCCCAAGAGGCCTCGGCAGTTTTTTTTCCAACATTTCCAACAGGCAGGGCTGCTGAAAAACATACATGAAACATTCCCCATAGATCCCTCAGTTTCTCGTAGTTCCTCGTGCGCCAGGCATCTGTGGAGCAGCAAAGAAGCCCAAGGGCACAATGGCGCCCGCCAGGAGTGCCGCTGGCGCACGCATGTTGTCGAACCTGAGAAATTGGGTTTGGCAACATGCGCAACACTTGCGCACAGGAGAATCCCGGAAGTTTCCATGCTCATCCACCATGTGTAGATAACGAAGGTCCGAATTAACACCAAAAACATCTGAAGAACATGGATGGTTCCACATTTGTTTACTTCGGGGGCGACTATTTACTGAGTACGTGAGTGGAAGTCACAATGGCCGAGACTGGAGACGGATTGAACTGCAGATCAACCTTGTGACAGTTGCAGAAAACCAATCGCGGATGGGTCTCAGAAATTCTCTGTTCATCATAGTCATAAGACTTGCACTTGGACGAGGGTGGGCAGTTCCTTTCTCATCAAGGGTCAATGGTTCCTTTTCTACACCTACTTGTCCCACTCCCTAATCTGGTGAACGCCTATCACTTATTATTTAGTTAGTGCAGGAGCTCCATTTGACAACAATCCTCCCCAAGTTCAATCACCGCAAGTGATTCATCACGGCACAAACTGTGTGGCTTAGATAGGCATACCATATCACAGCCCTGAGAAGACAAGAAAAGCAACAACACCACATTCATGCACTTCTGTGATCAAAAGCATTGTGCCCCGCCGCCTCACACGAACCCCTGACATGAGCGCCACAGGTGCCCCTGACATGCGCGCCGCTTGCCCGCTGTAGTCGGCCCAACGTGGCACCACGGAACCCTTGCCTGGTTGGCGGGGCGTTGGGCTGGACGAGATCTCACACGAACTTTTTCGAGCCGACTCTTTGTTGTTACTAGGAGCAAGGACGCTACTAGGGGCTCCTGGCATCGCTACTAGGAGCAAGGACGCTACTAGGAACAAAGGATATCGCTACTAGGAGCGATCGGACGCTACGAACGGGGCTCCTGGCCTTTACTAATTACTAGGAACAAGAGGACGCTACGAACATAACAAGAAGCTAAGCTATCCTTCACCGACCGGATTGGAACATTGTTGTTTGAAGCAAAGTGCACCTGAATGTGGAAAGGACCTGACCTTCCCTGAACCATGGAAGTGGAACATGACCCAAACTCGGAAAGAGATGCAGCATTGGTGGCTGGGTTGGATATCCAAAAACAGCAAAAGGGTCTATATTGAGTGTCCCGTGAAACTTATGGTAATCTTTGAGGGCCCCAACAAAAACCCTTTAGGTCATTACACGCACAGGTAGGTCAAGACTGAAGGATGCTGCCTTTTTCAATCACGTGGCCATGTGGCCGCCAGAGTCCTCTAGACAGGTGCAAGAGAAAGACAGACCGTGGAGACGGTTGGGAGATAGATGATTGGCCGGCCACTTTCACCAGGAAGGAGGTTTGCAAGCATTAGGATGCTATTAGGTGGAGGCCATCGCAAGTAGGTTGGAGGCAATTACTACTAGTAACAAGAACCTACTAGGAGCAAGGACGCTTGCGCTGCTTCCATACGCAGCCGCCAACGAGATCTGGCTTTGCACTTGTACAAGCCGTTGCAAGTCATCAACGGATGCGTTCTCTGGCACATAGTCAACGATTGCAGGGCAGAATCTCTTTCGTGTGGCCAAAAGCTCTGCGCCAAAGAAGGCTCCCCCCAGCCGTCGAAGTGCACAGGATGGAGTCCGGGGCACCTGCCCGGCCATGGGACTTCACCGGTTCGCACCGGCGGAGCACGAAAGGACCTCCAACCACTGCACTGGTGGCCAGTTGTCGTTTTGGAAGTCGGTGCAAGACCAATGAAATGAGAGACGACACAATGAGGACATGAGGAAAACAACCATTGGCTGATGCTGAAAGACCCTTAGAAAGAGCTATTGCTCACGTGGAAGGATGATTTCGCTGAAAGGTGCTGACAGCTGTGGATCTTGAGGGGCTCCACAGGCAGCATGTCACACCTCTTGGCGCCTGACTCTTTAGATGTGTCCTCCCCTCAAAGAAGCACTATCAAAAGGGCAAATGGCTGAAACACTCTGGAACTGTACGAAATTCCACCGCTTTCATCCTCCTGTGGTCGGTATTGTTGATTGGTACAGGACACGCTCCAAGACTCTTGCCATTGCAAGTACTCGCTTGAGGAACAAAACATTGAAGACCGTAAAAGAAGCAAACCGGGCTTGACAAGCTCGACTCTCAAGTCTCGATCCTGGATTCTTCATCTCGCCTGGGTACTGGCACACCGTCAAGCCTCAAAAGAAGGTCAGGGCCTCTTTAATAAGGCCCTGAAAGGGGGTCCTATTGACAAGGGTCTTACTTACTTACTTTCCTTCTTTCTGACTTACTTTCTTTCTAGGTTGCCCTCGCTATGAGGTTGGAGGCTATCGCTATTAGGTTGGAGGTTCTTTCCCTCTTTTCAACTTTAGTTATGGTTCCTTCACGTGGTCTCGCTCCTCTCGCCCCTTCTCGACCCCGAGTGACCCACCCATCGAGCCGGACCCACGAGCCTCCACCGCCAAGCCGTCCACGCTCCCCGACTGACGCGTGTCGAAGAAACGACCGCGATGTCCAGGTGAGATGATGAGATGCTCTGAGATGCTGGGAACGTGTTCCCAAACCGAAGACCGGAAGCTCCTACCAAAGTGCAGTTTAAGTTTCTTTGCTCAGTTGCCCGTGCGGCTAGCATGACACTTTGGTACTAAATCAAGGTGGCCTGGTTTCTGCTCGACCAAACTCCACCAACTGTGATGTGTTCCTCACCAAAGAAGACTTTCTTTTGAGATTCCGCATGGTGGATTCACTTTGGCTTGGAGTTTCTTGGAGCCCCCCAAGAACTTGGGCTGGACTCGACTTGCCCAGCCAGCTCTAGCAACATTGGAGATGCTGCAAACCACAGGGCTTTCACTTTCTCACGGTGCGGGTCTGAAGGTTTGCGCGCCATGCTGAAGCTTTGCTCGGCAGGCCCCCGCCCATGCCCTCCGGCTAGTAAACCTTTGACCCTGTGCCTCGGAGGCACCCAAAGGGTCGCCACTTCCGGTGAGGGGTCTGCGTAGGGACCTGCATGAGGGACGTGGTCTGCGAATCTGGGTGCAGCTTGGTTGGGTGCAGTTCAAGAAGCTACTAGCAACAAGTGCATCGCTTCTAGTAACAAGTGCCTTACTACTAGTAACAAGAAGCTAATAGTAACAAGTGCCAAACTGATGGGCTGGGTTTCTCCTCATTGACTAGACTCATCACGAAGAAGGGAGACTGCTTTTGCAAGTTGACCAGCTGGCTGGACACCTGCTTTTGTTGGAGTCTTTGGCTGAAACGATCCTGAAATCTCAATGACACCGTGGCCTGGCAGATTGCGAGGAACAAAGGGCCTCAGTTGTGTGCGGGCCCGCACACAACATGGTGAAACTCTTTCAACCTTTCTGTCC